AGGATAATAATAGTCCTTTGTATTTAGGTGACCTAGAAAAGGTTAGAAAATATCAATTTTGAAAAGGAGGGGTAAAAATCAATACTGCATTGAAAAAATGCTATTGAGCGCAAATATCCAACTTTAAGATCACGTGGAGCGGTAGTTATTATAGATTTACAAAGAAAAAGAGTCCTTTTTAGAACTTTTTTAAAAAGGGAAAAAAGAAAAAGAAAAGAAAAGTCGTTTTTTTCCCTTCGAAACAAACGAATCGAATTGTTAGGGATAAATTTTAACTTTTTAACAGAATGCCACAATAAAAAATTGTGTAATTCGGGGGCAGTGCGGCGCAGAGCATAAAACAGCAGTGGGATATCGATATTTCATCTTTCACTCAAAGTTTCAACGGCCAAAAAGCACGGAGACGTATTCTCCGTGCTCACCTAGATTCGGATTCTTGCGCATGGCGGCGGCTTCTCTCTTCACTCATTTTGGGATGCAATGTCACCTTCACAATCTTCTTTACTGAACCACAAGAGGTACACTGATTTCAACTACTGCTTTCTTTATCCCTTTCAATTCATGCTTTGTCTTGTGCTCGGAGATTGTAGTATCGAATGGGAAGCTATGTTTGAAGTTTTGTAATTTATTGTTCTTATATGTGAAATGAACTCCGATTTCGTTTTCTAATCTAGCTCAAGAACACACAATTCTTCTTCTTGTTCTTATTATTATGAAATTTTGATGTGATTGATTGATTGACAATGGGCGCGTTTAGAATTTGAAAGCATTATGATAAGCGCCAAGGTTGCTCGAGTTTAAAAAGCTAGAGGTCCTTATCTTTGCAAACATTCACAAAAACGACCAACTTACCGAATGATTCCAACCAAGAGTAAGGTTAGAAGATGAATCACTCTTAGATCAGACTTAGAATCTACGATGGTCACTCCTAGATCCTAAGACGACTCACTCCAGAATTAGCTTGATCGAGACTAATCCAATGAATCGGTTTAACATCAAACCTAAAGCAAGATTTGAAAGAAGCAACACCAAATGTGTTAAGGAACAAAAGTTCTTGAATTCCAATATGTTTAATCTTAAGTTCTCCCCATGACAAGAGCATTCCAAGCCTTTAAATAGGCCAAATGGTCGTTCAACATAAGAACACCAAAAGTTTTTCAAAATACTACTTAATGCAAATTGTAGAAAATAAGACATGCAAATTAAAACTTGATTGCACATCATTCTAGACACTTAAATGCGGATCAGAAAACGTAGTCACGCTTCAAATGGTCTTATCTACGTGCTGTAGGAGGCGCTTCACATTTGGATGACATTTGACAAGCTTTGACTTCACAAACTCCCAAGGGGTGCAATCTGCCAAGGCACCTGTTTACAATTATGCACACATTTTTTGTCCTCCGTGCCATCTCTCAAAATAGACAACTTTTCCCGTGTCATCTTTGCTCCATTCTCTTCTTGACTCATTGAAGTAACATTATGAACAAATTTGGGCTCAAAACTCTTTGTTGATTATTGTGCATTAACAAGCTTTTGAAGGTGCAGTGTGAAAGCCTCTTGAATCTTCTTGTCTTGCTTCTTGTAATTGCTCCTTTGGTACATGTAATTGGTCACAAATGGATTCGTATCATCCCCCCTTTCTTTAAAAGGACTTGTCCTCAAATCAAGGTCTTCATTTCCTACATCAAAACGAATCAAGTTAGTCCAATGATAAGCCTTAACAACTTGTTCCTTACCTTGTGGGTGTTCCATGGACTTGTCACTTCTTTCTTCTTGAAAATTTATATGGCCCCTTCTTGTTTGCCTTCTTGATTTAACACAACTTTTTGACTTCCTTGAAGTGCAATCTTGAAGTCTTGATATAATATCATCCTTCTTAGTCTTCTCATGTTTGGATTTGGACAAATTTTTTGTTCCTTCCAAAAGTGCTTCCAAACCCAATCACTTGGTTTGTTTACATTTTTCTTGGATTTGTTTTTCCTCCAACATACAATTCTGCGTTCTTGGCCATGAAATTCTTTATGCGACTTCTTAGACAAATACTTTTCCACAATGCCGTTCACTTTAGGTTTCTTTTGTTCATGGTTACCTACACAATAAGGAAGCAAGTTAGTATCTTCAAAATCAAGATCTATTTTATACTTACCTTGTAATACAATCTTTAGATCATGAGTAGATGATAGGATAACTCTCGTTGGCTCCATCATAGCTTCCATCGTTACTTGTGTTCGACCACACTTGATTTGAAGAGTTGGAACTTCCTGCAAAAATCTTAGAAAAGTAGAAACACTAGGATAAAGTATGTTAGCTTGATAGTAAGGGTCTAAGGGTCCTTATGCAACAATGTCATAAGATTTGGCTTATATGGACAAATGGATTGGATCTTGCTCTTGTCCTCTTCTTTCTCCTTTGAATTCCKTTCTCTTAACTCTTCTCTTTCTCTCTTTTCTTTCAACTYACTTTCATCAACATCAKAATGTTTGCTATCTTGTTTAATAAATTCATCAACATGTGCTTTAGATTCTTCCTCAAATTTTGCATCATATTTCTCACAACCATCATTTGAATCAACGACACCATTTCTTATTACCATGACTTCTTTATTGACACATTCTTTGCTCATGTGTCCAAACCTGTTGCACTTCCAACATTTAAGAGAATTAGTCTTCTCCCTTACCTCCTTTGGAACTTCATTGTTTTTGGCATTGGAGCTCTCGGCCTTCACTCTTTTGGCAGCACCAAACTTCCCTTCAAAATGGTCTAAAGTTGCTCTAACACTAGTTCATTCTCAGGATATTGAATTTTGAACTGCCAATCATTTCTTTAATTCTTCCTTTTCTCCTTCTGTTTTAGAAATCTCTTTTCTCCATCTTTCTCTTGTTTTGTGAGGTTTGTGTACGTTGAACGATTTTGCATCTTCTTTGGCACTTTCTCAATATGATTTCTTGTTATTGACAATGAGATTCTGAACGTCTTATTTGTTTAAATGACGTGATAGCTTTTAGAAAGGGAAAGAGGTTGTTACTTGGAAAAGAATGAGAAACAATATAGTCATGCAAGAACACTTGAAAGATTTGCCTCAGTCATCTTCCTATGAATCTGCTATGGAAGCACTTTCCTCCTTGATAAAGCAGAAAAGACGTGGAGAAAAGGTTCTTGGAACCAGTAATGATGAGAAATTAGAGATGATGAGAAAGTATGTTGAGGTAACACTCCTGCATCCTTCTCTAGTAAAGAAATCATAAAAGTAAAACGTTTCAACATAGCTGATCTGAAATCGTGAACGTATATAAAAATTTATGTGGGTCAATTATTTAATTTGGTTGCTCTTTCTGAACATTTTGACTATTGTCACAACAGGGAAGAGTGAAAATGATAATTTGAGTTTGTGCATTATAATACCTGAACTCCTATTGAAAGAATAAACCAGCAGGCTTATATGTTTCTTCTGCAGATTCTAGACCTTGAACAAGGTGTCAGGAAACTCAAAATTATTCACGTTGCTGGAACTAAGGGGAAGGTATTCTATTTTATATCTTTATCATAGCTTTTTATATGTTGTGGGTGAGGAAAAATACTTAGGTTATAAGATCCTTGGAGCATGGCTCACTTCACAACCTCTTTGTGCCTCAATAAAAGAAGACTTTGCCTTTTTCCTTATTTATTTTTCTTAATGTTTAAATTTTAACAAAAATTAAAATTGTTTTATTATTTATGTTTATAAATGAATGAGAAAGCAAATTTTCATTAAGATGAATGAAAAAGCAAACGTGAGCAATGTAAAAAAGAGAATTCTGCCACAGAAGGGATGTATTATTTCTTTTCCTTCTTTTTCCTCTCCTTTTGATAAAGAATCAAGTTTTCGTTAACAAAGATGAAAGAATACTAAAAGGTATACCAAAAACCATAGTCTAAGAAGGGAGCAAAACAATAACTGAAGACCTAACAAGACAAAAAGGCTCCAATCTAGATAATTATAAAGTCCTTGCAGGTGTCGGTGACAATATAGTTAAGGAGTATTATGACAATCTGATGCTACTGTTCATGAAGCATTGTAGAGGATAGTCATTGCTAGTAAATATTGCCCGAGTAACTTTGAAATGCTGCCTCTACCGAAAGCTTCCCAAAATTTTAAGGGACCGTTGTGAAATGTTGCTGAGAAATAGAAAGGTGGTACAAGTTAGAGGTTGGTAGAGGTGATAAAATCCGGTTTTGGGATGATCTTTGGATTGAGAATATTACCTTAAAAGCTGATTTTCCTTGCCAGTATAGAGCAGCAAATTTAAAAAAGTTTTATATTTATCAATGTTGGGAGAAAGGATGGAACATAGAGGTTAAAAGGAACCGGACGGAAGATGAAATAGTGGAATGGATCCAAGTTGTGTGAAAATGTCAAACCTAAGGATCAAGAGGGCTATAAGAGGGGCCTCTTGAAAGCAATGGAGTTTTTACAGTGATATCCTTAGTTCAAATTCTCAATAATAAGGATGCTTGCCCAAGTCCTGTTTGGAAGTATGATATGGAAAGCTCAAATTTGCAAGAGGGTAAAAGTTTTCATTTGGATTTTTGCCCTTGAGAAGCTCAACACTTGTTGTAGATTGCAAAGAAGAATGCCCTCTGTTATGTGCAGGAAGGAGGTGAAATACTGTTTGCATTTGTTCTGTCTTTGCCCGTTTGCTTCATCATGTTGGTCCATAATTTTTGAAACCTTAAACTTATGTTGGGTGTTCCCTAGGAAATGTTTGGAGGCTCTTTACGAGCTTTCTTTTATGACCTTCTTTTGGGACACTGCAAGAATTTTATGGTTTAACATGATGGTGGTGCTTTTGTGGAGACGTTGGTATGAAAGGAACAAAAGGAGAGCGACACTACTATTGATGGGTTTTAGGATCAATTTAGATTGTTTTCTGTCTCTTTGGTCTTCTCCTCACACTAACTTTTTTAATTATGGCTTGATGCAAATCATTGCCTATTGGGAATCCTTTTTGTAATCCCCTTGGCTTGTTGTGATAGCTTGTCTCCTTTTTGTATTGTATATGTCCTCTTTATTAATGAGGATGGACTGTTTCCTATAAAGAAAGAAAAAGGACAATTCAATCCTATGGTTGCCTCATGGGCGTTGCTAGAGCTACCAAAGTTAGTATTGGAAGGGAACTTCTTAAATGGGTAAAAACTCAAGATACAAGCTATAAGCAATATTGCGTCCTTCAACTCTGGTTCTAGAAATGAACATATGGAGGTAGCCCAACTAGTGGAGGATCACAGTTAGGCTTTGAAAGGAGAAAAGGATACATTTATGGCTGGAATTGTTGGCACATAACCAAGTATATGATAGTACTAAAGATAATCTCTACATTTTATTGAATAGTCAAAAGGATTTACAACCCTAGTTACACATTCGAGGTTGACACTCTTCCACTTGAAAATAGTGATGACTCCCTCTTGTTGATAAACTAGTGGATGATCACGACTGGCCTTAGATAGAGCTTGATTTTTGGATAGATGGGATGAAAAATGGTGATCTTGGCTAGGAGTTAGAACAAGTAGGTTCAAAGGTGAGTTTGAGGTGTTGCTTTGTAGGGAGGACATGAGCTGGAGGTGGAAAGTTAAAAGTAGAATAGGCCCCAAGGGGCACACCATTTGGCAAGCGCTTTGGTCATACTGGTTTAGAGGTCTCAAGTTCGAACCCTCTGATGAGCTTAATACCAAAAACGATTGATGTCTCCCAATCAGAGCCTTGGGGCAGGCACAAGTGCCCCTTGGGTATAAGGGAGCAAAGCTTCAACTTCTAGTTATAAAAAAAAAAAGTTAAAGTGAAATAGGGATGCTATTAGATTTGGACACCTAGTTGAGTTGGGCGCGTTTCTTGGATTCTTTTGGGGTGTCTTTGGTGCATAGCAGAGATTGTCGGGTGACGGTGGAGGAGGTGTTGCTGCATCCTCCCTTTTAGAATGAGTGAATTGTTCATTGGTAATCTTGTTTTTTCATTATTTTGTGGGGTATTTGTTTGGAGAGAAACAATCGGATTTTTAGAGGGGTAGAGAGGTTTTGGGTGGAGGTTTGAGATTTTATTAGATTTAATACCTCTCTTTAGGTGTTGGTCTCTAATGCCTTTTGTAATTATGAGTTAGGTTTTATTCTTTTGGATTGGAGCTCGTTTTTGTAGGTTGGGTTTCATCTTGGCGGGTGCTTTTTTTTGTATGCCCAAATTTTGTTTGCTCTTCTGTGTTCTTTCATTTAGGTAATGAAAACTTGGTTTCTTATGAAAAAATGAGGTAGATTATTTTACGATAAAACTGCTGATAAAATGAAGTATTTCCTTAATCTTGGAGTTCAATTGTACGATTTTGGAACCTATGAGAAAAATAAAATTGTTGCCCATACCTCAGGGACCCAAAAAGGTAATTTACAGAAAAAAGAAACTATTCTCTCTTTGTAACGCTTGGCCTATTTTTAAAAATTTTTTTCCTACTAGAAGAAAATAGATTGTTTTGCTAACTTTTCACTATATCAATGAAAAGTTCTTTTTTTGTCTCTCTCTAAAAGTAGTTTCATATCCATTTTCATTTTGCATTTGTACTTTTTATTTTGATGCCTATTCATTTTTCTTACCATGAATTGGCTAGTTTTCTTGCAATGATTTTCAATATAAATTTTGTTGGATGGTAGAGCAAATTAAAAATGTATGCCGAGAAAATTTGTAGTCCCTGCATCATCATTGTCATTATAGACCAAAAGATAACCCTCTTTCAATGGTGTAATGGCTATCCAAAGCAAAATAGGAAACTTATGTCCATCATTCATATTCTGCTGATGCTGCAAACTTGACCTCAATACCTGGTTAAAAAATAAGCACGAACTCTTAATGTTCTTTGATTTTCTTATCATCTTCCTTCACCCCACCTCACCTCTATGAATTTAGGGTTCCACGTGCACCTTTTGTGAAGCAATTTTACGGGAATGTGGTCTTCGAACTGGACTCTTCACTTCCCCTCATCTCATTGATGTGCGTGAAAGATTTCGCATAAATGGGTTAGTGCTGAAATATATATTTTCATATTTAGCAAACACCATCTAACACGTGTCTTATCCTACCCATCTGATCTCTATTTCTATTTTATATAACACCAACATCATGCACCCACGACACACTGAGAAATAATAAAGAAGCTCTCCAATTTACTCAACTTATTTTCACGCTCCATTGACTTTGTTGAAGTTGTATATTTTTCTTGCTTTATTTAATAATTTTCTCTCTCTTTTAATCTCACTTTGAATGGCATGATCAGGTTGGATATATCAGAAGATAAATTTCTGCAGTACTTCTGGGCCTGCTGGATACAACTGAAGGTATTATTATTCCTTGCTTCAATTTTAATCTCTTTGAAAAACCATTCAATGCTAATTCTCTCTAAGTTTTTTTCTTTTTTGAACGAGAAACGAACTTGTCATTGATTAAATGAAAAGGAACATAAACTGTTCTAGGATACAAACTCTCGAAAGAGTGAAAATACAAAATAAGAGAATTAAGAAAAGATAAGAAAGACATAATATCCAGAAAAGACATAACGAACAAGGAAATCTAAAAATACAAGAACTACTCTAGACTAATGAAAAACACCCAAATTATTAAAAATAAGAAGCACAGACACGCGACACAGATATGACACCCACAGACACGGCGACACGTCAATTTTCAAAAAAGTAGGACACACGACACGTTGGGGGCACGTTAATTTTTTAAATGATTTTTAATTAATATTTAAATAGAAAATATATATATATATAAAAGAAAACCTAACTCTAGCCCCAAATTTTCCCTCGTAATAAAGAAGACCCTATTTTCATCTTTGATTCCCTCTTCCCACTTAATAATCTAACCCTAGTTTTTATTTCTTTCATCACAACCCGCTACCCTCCTACTTCTTTTTCTCGCCTCCTTTCCTCTCATCCTTCTCCTTTCTCAACATCGCCGCCTCTTCTTCCTTTTTCTTTATCTTCTTCTTTGTTCACCTATCTTCTATAAGTTTCGGGAGTACGTGACTTTTGGGTTGATTTTTATTTGGTTTATAGAGAAGAAAAAAGACCCCAAGCTTGGTCTTCGGTTGATGAAGAAGAAATAAGAAATCTAGGTAAGAGGGAAAAAAAATAAAATCGGGAAGTGGGAGGAGAAAGATCAACTAGAAAAAAAAGGACACTCGCGTGTGCCAGACGTGTCCCCAGCATGTCCCGGACGTGTCCCCAACGTGTTCCAATGTGTCAGATTTTTTAAAATTAAAAAAATTAAAAATTCATTTCAGACACGTGTCGGGGCGTGTCAGTGTCCGACACGTGGCGTGTCGGACACCGACACTTCTTCATTTTGAGCATGTCTATGCTACCTGGTTAAAAACAACAGTAGGGGAATAATGGGAAAAGGAATCTGCTAACGAACACCAATGAGAGGCCTTAAATTTGGTTGAATTGAGACAATTGGACAAAGATCTTTCGCTTGATCTTAGCTTTTTTCTTGTAATCTTTTTCCTCTAGCAGCAGTATAATATTTCCATTTGCTTTCCCCCAATTATGTTTCAAGATAACTTTTTTTTTTTAACAAGATACAAACTTTTCATTGATGGAATGAAAAGGGACAATAAAATGTTCAAAGGATACAAACTCCAGAAAAAGTGAAACAAAAGGAACAAATAAAGAACAAACAAAGAAAATATAGAAAACAAATTACAGGGGATTGATAAAAGCATCCCAATTAGAAAAAATAAGATTTGGGGAGTAATGGACAAAAGAATCAGCAAGAGAGCACCAATGGGAAGCCTTGAACTTTGCTGTTGACAAACACTCCGTCAATGATCTGCTTTTACCCTTAAACAGCCTCGAATTCCTCTCAAACCAAAGCTCCGAAAGAAAAGCTTGAATGCTGAACGACATTAATCCATAACAAACTAACAGCCGAAGAAGAATGATATGAACCACAAAAACTAGAACAAAATGTCTTGAGCCTTACAATAAAAAGCCCAATTAGTGTGGAAGGTATGCAGAAGAGAGTACCACCCATGAGCAATGAAGAACAATGGAAGAAGATATGACTTTGATCTTCCCCACTAGCACCGCAGAGAACACAATAAGAAGGGAGAAGAGCGTGAAGGTAGCTTTCTTTGAATAATTTCAGCCGTATTTAATTTCCCTTGAAGAAGAATACAAGAAAACACATTGACTTTCCTTGGGCTTTTTGATTTCCATAAAGCAGCAAACAAGTCCTTATCCATTGGAGAAGAAGACTACAATCTGCTCAAAGATGCAACCGAAAACACACCAGACGGTTCGAGAGTCCAAATTATTCGATCTTCTCTACAAGTAATAGAAGCTGAGCTTAGAACTGATAAAAGATTAGTAAACTCTTCCAGCTCCTCTTCCTTTAGATACCTCCTCAACAAAATGTTCCATGAATGTGTATTCTGATCCAAAAAATCCGAAACTGCTCCTAATGGAATAGGAGAAATTTTAAACAATCTAAAGAATATGTCCTTTAAGGGACTATCAAGGATCCAAGGAGAATGCCAAAAGAAGACCTTGTTGCCAAAACCAACCTTATAAGATAAAAAAGTCTCCACTTTCTTCCAATGCTTGGAGATATGACTCCAAGGACAATGCTTGCAAGTGACCGAATTAGAAGATGTAAACCAGCCGAACAAATTTGAACCGTGAATACTTTCTACCACCTGCCGCCAAAGTGAGAAGGGTTCACAACTAAAACGGCAACCCCATTTAGCTAGAAAAGCACTGTTTCTTCGAGACAACCCACCAATTGCCAAGCCTCCATCTTCAAGGTGCAGAGAAGTGGTTTTCCAATTAACTAAATGCTTCAAAGGTCCTTTGGAAGAATTACCTTCCCAAAGAAAATCCCTCATAGCCTTCTCGATTTTTTTACATATGTCCGAAGGCATTTGAAATAAGGACATATAATAAGTTGGGAGATTAGCCAACACCGAATTACACAAAGTCAAACGGCCTCCCCTAGATGGATTAAAATGCCCCCATCTATCTGATTTTTTCACGATCTTCTCAAGGACGCCAAAAATCAGAACTGTGAGTATTTGCACCTAAAGGTAAGGCAAGATACATTAGTGCCTAGTGGAAAAGATTTAACCTGACAATGTAACTTAGAAGCTGCCTGCTGAACACAGTGTGGATGAATATTCACCCCACATAAGGCTAATTTATCCCAATTTACTGCTAAGCCCTAAAGCCACGACGCTTTGATAGGCCTGATCAAATTTAGAAGCATAACATCATCATCCTTACAAAAAAAAATAGTGTGTCATCGGCAAACTGGAGGTAAGAAAGATGAAAAGACTTGCGGCCAACCAAAAACCTTCGAAGGAGCCGTTGAGATGAATTCTGTCCAGCATACTACTAAATACATCACTTAATAGAAGAAAAAGGAAGAGAAAAAAAGGAAGGGAGAGAGAGGATCTCCTTGCCTTAAGCCTCTAGAAGCGATAATTCTTCCTTTTTGGACGCCCATTAATAGAGATGGAGAATTTAGTACCTTGAATACAACCATTTATCCAACTCACCCATTTGTTTCCAAACTGTTTGTCTTTCACCTTCTTCTAGATGGTTTAGTCAACTGTAGATCCCTAACATTTACTGCTTACATATGCATAAATGCAACTTAGCCACATTCGTACATATCATACAATTGGTCCAGCCTTTTCATAATCTCTTCTATCCACCCTTATTATTAGTGAAAAGTTTTGATGATGTTTCTTATACAAAAAAAAAAGGGTAAAAAATTCTGTTCCAGCTAAGTTGTTGGGGTTTTTTGGAATTAACTCCGGAATGATATTTGTCACTTGGAGTAAGGACGTATTCCATGTATCAATCTTCTAGCATTTAAGAGGAGTGAGATGGAGTTGAGTAGTTGGATACAGAGTTTTTTTTTTTTCTTTTACATTGAACCATGTGCGAAAGTAACAAATTAACAAATGGTAAGCCAAGAGGTAAATTTAAGGCTATTCTCCTTTCCGCTTCAGTCTTCATCATTGTTGTAGAGTTTTTAAGCAGAATCCTCGGTTAGGGCAATAGAAAAGGCCCTTATTCAGGGGTATGAATCACTTTCTCTTTGTGGATGATACATTACTTTTCTCTAATAAGGACCCTACTAGTTACGCAACCCCTTCTACATTATCAAGATTTTTTGGTGTGATTTATGAATTCAAATCTTATTAGAATGATTGAATGCCTTAAATGATACAAAGGGCCTCCTATTTATAGGAATAAGGCCACTGACAAGAGAGATAAAAACAGAAAAGGCTAACTACTAAACTAACTAACAGTAGGCTCACCACCAAACTAACTAACAGTAGAGTTAGTTACATCAATTTCCCTCCTTTAAAAAGAACTCGATCTCGAGTTAGGATGCCAATCTGAATGTATCCAGAGGGGCATAAAGAAAGATGTCTGACACATTGAAGATAGGATTGATATTGTAATCCGTTGGTAACTTGATCTTGTATGCATTTGGGCCATACTTATTCAAAACTTCAAAAGGTCCGAATTTCTTCCTTTGAAGCTTATGAACAGAACCAGTAGGTAAACGCCCTTTCGTCAAGTGAATCAAAACTAGATCTTCTTCTGTGAATTCTTGTACGCGTCGCTTTCTATCTGCTTCTATTTTATATTTGGCATTTGAAGCTGCTATTTGATCATGCACTTCTTTATGTAGTTGAGTTATCCTTTCTGCCATTTGGGATGCTTCTAAACTGAAATCAACAGAAATAGGCACATTAGCTAAGTCCACCGTTAATTTAGGCAATTTAGTGTAGACTACTTCAAAGGGGGACTTCTCTGTGGTCCTGTTTTGCATATGTTTAAATGCAAATTCTGCTTGTGCTAGCATTAGATCCCATTGTTTAGGTTTATCTCCGCATAAACAACGAATGGGGTTGCCAAGAGTCTTGTTTGTGACCTCAGTTTGACCATCCGTTTGAGGATGGTTAGTGGTGCTGTACTTCAAAGAAGTGTCAAATTTTTTCCAAAGCGTTCGCCATAAATGGCTCAGAAATTTGACATCTCTATCCGATACAATGGATTTAGGGATACCATGGAGGCGGACGATTTCTCTAAAAAAGAGAGTTGCTATATAAACGACATCCGATGTCTTTTTGCAAGCTAGGAAGTGTGCCATTTTGCTGAATCGATCGACGACCACCATAACCGAGTCAAATACTCTTTGTGTACGAGGTAATCCCAACACAAAGTCCATGGAGAGATTCTCCCAAATTGTTTCAGGTGTAGGGAGAGGCATGTATAATCCAGTGTTTTGTTAGTACCTTTGCTTGTTTGACAAA